TGCCACTGACGACGCACTGAATATAACAGCCATGATTCACGCCTTGGGAGTAATATGAGAATACAGAGCTTGATGCGACTTGTTAAGTTGTATGTTAAATTCGCAGCTAGGTCTGACAGTGTGAACACAAGTCACATGCTCAGAACAAGCGTTCTTGAAGTAACATTGAACATAGCGTCAGGTTTCGTCATACATACCTCAGTAGTTTACATTTAGAAGAGACGGCATAATGGTGCAACACAGGCGTCGTTTCGAGGATCTATATTCCCGCGGGTAAATATAGAAAAAGGAAAAACCCCGTTACTATATATAAACACAGACGGGAGTTCCCCGTGAGTGTTCGTTTCTTGGAACAGTGCGTGATTGGCTGCGCGACAGGCGACCGTGACATTGCGCCTCAATCGTATCCAGACTAATTCTGTTTTGTCTGTATTTGGGGACTTGACCTCAATTAGGTAGGTGATAACGGTATTCTGCATGCCTATTGGCGGTGTTAGGTATTAATGTGTCGTGACAGCGTTCCTGCTGCCCAGAGTTCAAGCACGACTGTACATCGTAATTAATCCTTTAGTCTAACAGAGGCCATCACGTGCAACCGAATTATTTATGCACGATACAGATTCAGTGCATGTGAATCTTCTTGTGTTTATCGCAACTTTAATGTGACTTTCAAATGATTGTATATCAAAATAGGTTGTGTTCGAGTTGGGTATATGTGTCACTTATAGCGGACGCGTCACACTTGAGCACGCCATGATGTATCATTAATTTATAACCCATTGTTAAGGAAAACGTTCGGAACATTCTCGATGTTGTTTCACAGTACTGTCTGACGAGCACAATGTCCGTCCGCATTAGCTCGGATGAGGTCGATAGTAGTGTGCACTACATTTAAATGGTATAGAATATTACTGTCTACGTTGTAATATCGTGTGCACTATGTTTTATTGATTATTTTAAATACTACAAGCTACGTTGTAATATGTAATATCCTGTTGTAGGGGCGGATCTAGCATATTGAAGTGGGGGGCGTCGAGTGGGCTGGTGTAAGATGACTCGTTCTCGCCGGCAGTTGCAGCAGGGATAGAATAGGAAAGGGTTGAGACTCGTGCATAGCATTCCATACAAATCATACGTTTATAAGACACATGTTTCTTAATTTTCTCATTACTTAAAGCAGCTTGAGAAAAGTGTTACAAACACTTTAATCATGACACTACCTTGTGACCTTTTTGTGACGCATGAACACGACCAATAATCATTTAAGTGTCGGTTCACAGGACCATAATTATGTTTGTCAACGCAAGCGATGTGTTTATGAGGATACTTTGAACAGCAATGCTCTGGTTGAGTGGTTGTACGTAACGACTCATTGCGTGTCTGTTTCTGTGGATTCAGTGGAAATCAAAAGCATGATCAATCAGCAGATAATTCAGAAAAACGTTTGGTTTGTTCTGACGTTTGGCTGTTTGAAGGTAGGGGCGTTTGGGTAGCTTTGTGTTTCTTTCCGTCTCAAGGTCAACGATGTTTGGGATGACTAGAAAAACTGCGGTGATGTTCATGATTCTAATGAGTTAAAACAACTATTAAAAATAACAGGCATGAAATCACTTAAAGAAGAGGCGGTGGGGTAGCGTAGTGGTTAAAGCGTTGGCTCGTCACGCCGAAGACCCGGGTTCGAATCCCCACATGGGTACAATGTGTGAAGCCCATTTCTGGTGTTCCCCGCCGTGATGTTGCTGGAATATTGCTAAAAGCGGCGTAAAACCAAAACTCAGTCAGTCAGTCAGACTTAAAGAAGACCCAAATTTTCACAATGCAGTAAACCGCCTCCTTGGTGTAGTCGTTAGAGCGTCCGCCCGGAGAGCGGAAGGTCGCGGGTTCGATCCCCGACCGCGTCATACCAAAAGACGTTAAAATATTGTACTTGTTGGTCCCTGCCTGGCGCTCGGCATTAATGGGTACAACAAGGACTGGTCGGCTCGGAGTCAGTATAATGTGTCTGAGTGGGGTATTCATGCTTCACTGCGGCATGGTATCTCAGTGGGCTAGCACTATAAAACCAGCTTCAGTCTGGGCTAGTACAAGCAGTCGCACATACACATACACACGCATGCACGTCGTCATATGAGCGAAATATTCTCAAGCAGGACGATAAACCCAATTTCACCTCACCTCACAATGCAGTATGTTCATCTTCTGAAGCATCCTTCTTTCTAATTCCAATTATCTCTTTTCTCTTATTTCAACCATTTCGTTTTATGGTTAAATGTTCAGATCGTAATGGTGCTGTGGGTTCCTGCAGAATTTGAAAATAGTACTGTCTCCTCTCATTATTTACAGTCCGCCGCCATACTGCTGGACAATACCAATGTCATGCTGGGTTTTCTTTACTTTTCCCCTATGGAAGAATAGAGGGGGCAGGTCAGGAAGAAATTGTGTTTTTCCTCTTGTGGAAGAATAAAGAAGGCAGTTTAGGTGGAAGAGCCACCCTATTCTTGAGAGTGAGTGAGTGAGTTTAGGTTTACGCCGCACTCCGCAATATCCCAGCTATATGGCGGCGGTCTGTAAATAATCTAGTCTGGACCAAACAATCCAGTGAGCAACATCATGAGCATCGATCTGCGCTATTGGGAACCGATGACATGTGTCAACCAAGTCAGCGAAACTGACCACCCGATCCCGTTAGTCGCCTCTTACGACAAGCATAGTCGCCTTTTATGGCAAGCACATGGGTTGCTGAAGACCTATTCTATCCCGGATCTTCACGGGTCCTTCCTTGAGTGATTCGGTTGTTGTATTACAGGTCTCGATGGATAGAAGCAGGTGCTGTTCCCGGGACAGAGAAGCCAAAGATACCAAAGAACAATCTAGTCAGACACATGCGAGCTTAGAACAGAATCAGCCGTTACCCGCTGTTGAAGTTTGCGACACACTATCAGACACCTCAGTGTCGGACAGTTCAGTCTGTATCCATACCCACAGTGAAGATGGAGCAGATGCTACAACACCTAAGGTTGTTTCTTCAGTTGACTGCGGGCTGGACACGGATGGCGAATCACCGGAAGTAACACCAGAGCAAGGCCTGCTGGGAGCTGAGGGTCATGGCGGTCTGGCTGACGATCAGTGTGCACAGCAGGACGGTGTCATCGAGGTTACACTGCAGCATCCTATACCGTAAATACTGTACTGACCAATATCCTGGATCCCGTTGCTCAAAGCTATTTCAGCACTACGCCGCTCCAGTAATCCAACATAGGCTTAAGATAGTCTTTCAGCTTCGATCTGTTGAACAGTACCCTGGACAAACCGATTTTACTGCTATCATAAGATCAGTACATGGTCCTATTGCAAGGAGCGATTTTACGTAAAGACTAGAGTAAATCTTAAAGCATCAGAGTTTGAATCGCTGTAAAATCACTTTGTGCAAGTTTGTCCTGATTGACTTCAGTTTAAAGCTTTGAGGACAAACATGGGTAAATGAGCGAATGTTCTGGTGGTTGGGTATTTGTTCTCAAGAATGTTTATTGAAAATCTTGTTCAAAGTGTGATAGTAATACATATTATAGCTTGTGCCAGCCGCTCTTTCTTACTCCAGTTAGAGCTTTGAAGACTATGGAAGAGTATGTGAGTCGGTGGCTGAGCGAATGGGTATGAATCCCAAGTCTTGATATACATTCTGTATAGCTTAATCGTGCAGCCATGATGCTTTCTTCTAGTGTGTTATAGAAAGTACCTCCTTTACAGAAAAGGGGGTGGCAAAAGGACTCCCTTGCAGAGTTCAGACAGCGTTGAGGCGGAGTACCTCCAGTCAGCAAGTGAGCTGTGTACCAGTGAAAGGCCAAGAAGCTACAGCAGCTCCTTCAGTCATTTGTCATTGTCCTCCAGTCTGCCAAGATCATGTAAGTGGGGACTTTAGTCACTTTCATAGTCACGCAGATTTTGTTGTTTGTTTACTCAAGCGAGAGCCACACAGATATGTAGTAATGAAGTCAGTGAGGAATGTAGTCAGTGAGATACATTCTCTCCTTATTGCTGCATACTCCGTAGTTTTGTGGACGAAACATCAGTTCAATGAGCGGAAGGTGGGTAGATTAGTCCTCTTTGAGTGAGTGAGTGAGTGGAGGTTTTAGCAATATTCCAATATCCCAGCACACATTGTACCCATGTGGCGTCTTGAACTCTTCGGTGTAACGATCGAGAGCTTTACCCACGAGGACCCCACCGCCCCAGTCATCTGGCGGGTTGTACTGAGACGTTAAAATATGGTACTTGTTGTTACCCTGCCTGCCGTGTAGCATTAATGGGATATTATACTGTGTCTGAACTGGGTAGTCGTGTTGAACTACGGCCTGAAATTCAGTGGGTTTACTTCATGTACAAAAATGTCATGAGGCCTAACTGGTACATACAGACAAAGATATTACGATAGCAAAATACAACATCCCGATACCTATAGTGATAGGTATATATACCTATATAGTCTACAGGGACGGTGGGTTAGTCTGGCGGTTAAAGCGTCCGCTCGTCACGCCGAAGACCCGGCTTCGATTCCCCACATGGGTACAACGTGTGAAGCCCATTTCTGGTGTGCCCCACCGTGGTATTGCTGGAATATTGCTAAAAACAGCGTAAAATTAAACTCACTCACTCACTCACTCTGTAGCTACGACGAATATGCCATAATGATTCATGCGTGTTGTTCTTGCCCACGTACATGCGGGAAAGACATATCCGATATTGTTAAAAACGGTTTGAAGCTCGAATAGATCTCCATACACAAGTGGAATATTGTTAACTCTGAACGCTGTTACAGATGACGTGTTGATCAATGGTCCTCACCAAGAAAATTACCAAAGTTAATTTTTTATTTTACCTTCATAATATTTTGATATTAGAAATTATTTTACGTCTGTATAATTACTCTCTTACTAAAGAGGTAATTTGAGTTTGGGTACTTTTATTAACACTGAAGTCTGATGAATCAATTTATTGCTGAACATTGAATTCCCCTTTTTAAGTGGCTGTAGAGCCAAGCTGTAACCACCCATAATGCCTAAGGTATGTTGTATATTTCCATCACAATTGTCTAGATACTCTCACTGTCTCCGGCCATGGTATTTCCTCTTCTATCCAGTCCATACTGAAGTATTGTAGCACTAAATGAAGCAAGTTAGATTTGGCACTGGTTCATACTGGCATAGTTTCTATCTAAATTTAGTGTCTACATACAATCGAATAGTTTAGACAAACCGTTAATCAGTGTTAAAATACTTATTATCTTTCCTCACACATAAATGTAGTTTTCTGAGCGCTCTTCTAATAGTTTCAATGTACCGGCTGACAAGAAGCGAGTAACATTCTCTCTCGGTTACCCGCTAGGAATGCCGATCTGTGGGAATTCATTTGGTGCCTCGTGTTTGTAGTTCTTTATCTCGAATAATAGAGTCACGTATGATACACGGAAATTGCCGCTGTTTCGCGATTGCATAATCGCGGCGACGGAAGGGAGGTAACTCTAAATTTGTTTTTCTTGTCTGCTAGAACCTATGTCATCTGAAAATCTAGTATTGGCTAACTGCCTAACTCTGGTAGTCCTTATTTATGATCCGACACCCGTGCTTCTAACAGTTCAGAATTAACTATGAGGTGTTCAGTAAGATAAACACGTTGTTCACTGGTCCCTTCGGGCTCGGGGACATAACAAACATAGTATGTACATCAACCCATGTCCCCGTCGTGACCAGTGAACAACCTATATTATAGATAACATAGTGGATTCAGTCGGTGCTCAAGTTGGTATGAAGTTTCTAATGTCTGCAGGATTGAATGTAATTGCTGATGGTACATTACTTTGGTACCTCCTGTCACCCCTCTAAGTACATGTTACTGAGTGAGTGAGTAATAATATTCCAGCAATATCACGGCGGGGCACACCAAAAATTGGCTTCACACATTGTACCCATGTGGAAATCGAACCCGGGTCTTCGGCGTGACGAGCGAACGCTTTAACCACTAGGCTAAAAACCCCACCCCCACCCCACCCCACCCCCAAGGTTACTGCGTCCTTGACATTTCTGCTATGTTTCAGGTGACTTGTGCCGAGCTGCCGACAGACTCCTCCTCTGCAGCCACAGCAAGGACTTCTGGTACTCCATTAGAAGCGACACCTGTTGTGAACGGGTATTTCATATTTTGTTCTGAACGGAATGTTATGTGTTGGTTGTAAATGTGTATGGACATGTTATGTTGTGAACGGGTATTTTGTGTTTGCTGTGAATGGATGTTTTATGTTTTCTTGTGAATGAGTATATTCTGTGTTTGTGGTGAACGAGTATATTATATGTTTGTTGTCTACGGTAGTAATGTTATGTGTTTGTTGTGAACGAGTATATTAAATAATTATTTTTGTTTGTTGTCTACGGTAGTGTTATGTGTTTGTGGTGAACGAGTCTATTATGTGTTTGTTGTCTACGGTAATGTTATGTGTTTGTTGAGAACGAGTATATTAAATATTTATTTGTGTTTGTTGTCTACGGTAATGTTATGTGTTTGTTGTGAACGAGTATATTATGTGTTTGTTGTCTACGGTAATGTTATGTGTTTGTTGTGAACGAGTATATTAAATAATTATGTGTTTGTTGTCTACGGTAATGTTATGTGTTTGTGGTGAACGAGTATATTAAATAATTATTTGTGTTTGTTGTCTAAGGTAATGTTATGTGTTTGTTGTGAACGAGTATATTATGTGTTTGTTGTCTACGGTAATGTTATGTGTTTGTTGTGAACGAGTATTTCATATTTTGTTCTGAACGGGAATGTTATGTGTTGGTTGTAAATGTGTATGGACATGTTATGTTGTGAACGGGTATTTTGTGTTTGCTGTGAATGGATGTTTATGTTTTCTTGTGAACGAGTATATTCTGTGTTTGTGGTGAACGAATATATTATCTGTTTGTGGTGAACAAGTATATTATGTGTTTGTTGTCTACGGTAATGTTATGTGTTTGTTGTGAACGAGTATATTAAATAATTATTTGTGTTTGTTGTCTACGGTAATGTTATGTGTTTGTTGTGAACGAGTATATTATGTGTTTGTTGTCTACGGTAATGTTATGTGTTTGTTGTGAACGAGTATATTATGTGTTTGTTGTCTACGGTAATGTTATGTGTTTGTTGTGAACGAGTATATTATGTGTTTGTTGTCTACAGTAATGTTATGTGTTTGTTGTGAACGAGTATATTAAATATTTATTTGTGTTTGTTGTCTACGGTAATGTTATGTGTTTGTGGTGAACGAGTATATTATGTGTTTGTTGTCTACGGTAATGTTATGTGTTTGTTGTGAACGAGTATATTATGTGTTTGTTGTCTACGGTAATGTTATGTGTTTGTTGTGAACGAGTATATTAAATATGTATTTGTGTTTGTTGTCTACGGTAATGTTATGTGTTTGTGGTGAACGAGTATATTATGTGTTTGTTGTCTACGGAAATGTGGTGTGTTTGTTGTGAACGAGTATATTAAATATTTATTTGTGTTTGTTGTCTACGGTAATGTTATGTGTTTGTTGTGAACGAGTATATTATGTATTTGTTGTCTACGGTAATGTTATGTGTTTGTTGTGAACGAGTATATTATATAATTATTTGTGTTTGTTGTCTACGGTAATGTTATGTGTTTGTGGTGAACGAGTATATTATGTGTTTGTTGTCTACGGTAATGTTGTGTGTTTGTTGTAAATGAGAATATTAAATAATTATTTGTGTTCGTTGTCTAGTTGGAAGAGCATATCTGTTTGATTTAATAAATTATATCAAAATTAATAAAACAATTGAAAAGGTTATATTGTACATTACTTTTATATATAGTTGGTCATATATGTTTCAGGTTTGGTCAGATTTCCATGACAAACTGAAAGCAACATTTCCTCAAGATCCAGCGTTTAAAGGGGGAAAGGCCCGTATCATGCCCCTCTTAAAGTCACTGTTAGGAGTGAATGGTGAGAGAGTGTGATTGGTCTAACTCTTCCTTGAGCATTTACAGTTTAAATGCGACTTCTCATTCCAAAGTGAAAGGATACCTTAAAGTTCATATATATTTAAACGTTGACACTTTGATCATAACCGCATGGCGACTGTTGGCCACCTTTCTTGTAGATTAATAGATTCATGCAGATTAATAGATGGTTTCCCAAGCATACAGGCATGAATAATAAGCACTAACTCAAGTCTTTCTAGAAAGTCTCCTCTGATGCCAAATGGCATTAGATACATCAACTATTTAAGTGGCCATACCACATTTGTTTGTTTGTCATAGACGTATAATTGTACGAAGGAATGGAGAATGCTCAGTGACCCATGGCAAGACTTTTTTGTTGATCTTTGTCCGAGTAGGGGTCGGCGGTAGCCTATTGGTTAAGGCGTTCGCTCGTGACGCGGAAGATTCCTCAAATGGGCACATTTCTGGTCTCACCGCCGTGATATTTCTGGAATATTGCTAAAAGCGGCTTAAAACTAAACTCACTCACTCACCCATTGACCGAGGATCCCATCTAAATGGTGATGCTGTATAATATATGCTTTATAGCGTTAATACTGTGCTGCTGAATTTGTAATTGTGTAAGCACCCAAACGTTTACTGCATGTAATGATGGCTGGTTGGTTTGTTGTTCGCCGCACTCAGCAATATTCACGCTATATGGGGGCGGTGTGTAAATAATCGAATCTGGACCACACAATCTAGTGATCAACAGCATGAGCATCAATCTACGCAACTGGTATACGATGACATGTGTCAACCAAGTCAGCGAGCCTGACCACCGGATCCCGTTAGTCGACTCTTACGACAAGCATCTGTTACTGTAGATCAATTCTAACCCGGATCTTCACGGGTGCATGTAATGTAATCAGGACAGACTGTCTCATCGTGATTGGGCTTTAGTTGCCTAGATTGAATCAATTTCATTTCCCTCGTATGGCTAGAATATTGCTGACTCAGCATGTCTAAATTTGGAAAATTATCTTTTCAAGTCTCGAAATTCAAATGAATATTTGTTTCAGAATCTCTGGAAAAAGTGCACATCAAGTCATTTTTGCGAGTGATCAAATTCATCGGTCCCTTCAGAGCCGAGCAAGACCGATGTGTTGTCCTTAAACAGGTAGAAGTTGTGTATTGCGACATGTTTGATGATACGAGAGAAGTTTCCTGTGTTGCTGAAGACCAATTCTAAGTGCTACTATTTGTATAAATACAATTTTAACTCTTTAACGTTCATGTTCCGCAAACAGAAGATATTTAGTGGATGACAGTTTCTTTCGTCTATCATAATGCGATGATCATATTCGGTTAAGATGAGAAAGCAGATGTCATCCATAAATATTTTGCCTTCACTTTTACTTACGCAATCCTAAATATACAATTGGAGGGATATTTTGTTGTAGCTTGAAGATCTTCTTGAACACTCATTCATCAAGGATCCTAAAAACAGGAAGCAAAAGATTTCGTAAGCATCTTCATACACGTTTTGAGATATATGCAGATAATTTCGTTCACGAGGAGAAATGGCGAGTTGAAATGAAGTTTAAGGTAGCGCCCGTTATTATTGAACTCATATTGAAGGACATTTCAAAATTTGTAGCATGATCACGGAGGTAGGTATTTCTGTCAATTTCAAAGTAGTGTCTTTCAAATTTCTTATGTTCAGAAATGTAACAAACACAAACGCCCAAGTCCGTTGCAGCGAATTTAAATGGCAGGATCCGCATAATTAAGACTAAGCCCTAATATTCCAGCTGGTTCGCTGGGCCTCTGTCAAGAAAGGATGCTGATGCGAAATTGAAGGAGAGACCAACCGGAACTTTCTTGATCAGGTGAATGATCAGATTATTATGTAACGATAAAAGCATAATGAAAACATTAGAACCACATGTGATATATTTGTACCGGCGCCAATAATGATGAGTATCCTGATATCGATTCTTCGTTATCTCGATTCTCGGGTTACTAAACATGTGTTCAATACTTAATGTCTGTTCACTATAATGATGATGATGGTGATGATGATAAGCAAAATGTGTGTACTTATATTGCGCTAGATTCCTTAAGTGTAATTTGATGTTTCTATAATTTGCGGTGTTATTTTTCGTTCGAATATGTTTTTTCAAATGGTGATGCCATAATAACTGTTATTTGAACATTCCACAGATTGAGCGAGACTCAGAGCGAAGAAGGGAGTTTTTCATTAGCTCTTGTCATGGCGGACGAGAGTCTCTCACTTCATCATAGAGGTAAACTTATTTAATATGACCAATGCCTGGATATTACTTGAAACTAATTGTTATACATAATACTAGTATTGCGCTTCCTGATATTAAAACTTGTTGAATATAAATTTACCAAAGAGCGCTTTGGGTAGCATGGTGGTTTAAGCATTCGTTCGTAATGCCGATAACCAGGGTTCGATTCCCCACATTGGTAGATTGGTAGATTGGTGTGAAACCCAAAATGGTGTTCCAGGCCGAGGTATTGCTAAGGTAGTCCTATCTGTGACGCAGGATGAGAAATGGTTGCAACATGTTTCACTGTGATGGCTTAAATATGCGACAGTTTATTTTTTTCTAGAAATTCTTTTTTCAGAATTGATCTATCAATATACTAAACGAAAATTGCAATCCATGAGTCAAATATTATGACCGGAGTAGGGGTTGGGTGTAACTCTGATATCGCAATCTTTTTATCAATTCTATTTTCCCGGTTTGATGGCTGTATCAGTCTGCAGAACTGACTGACTGAGTATGGTTTTATATCGCTTTTAGCAATATTCCAGCAATATCACGACGGGGCCCACCAGAAATGGGCTTCACAAATTGTACCCATGTGGGGAATCGAACCCGGGCCTTCGGCGTGCAATCTGCAGAAAGGGCTGATCTTTTGTTTATAAGTTGATTAAGGAGTGTGCACATAAAATTGCCACTCCGTGTCAGTGAGTTCATAAGATGTGGCCAAGCCTTTTTTGTACAGCCTTCTTATTATTGGGCAGGGGTCTTTTTCGCACACAGCTGTCACATAAGACAACACACAAACGAATGTAGAATCCGTTTTATCTTCATTTGCAAATATTACTGATTTCAGGGACACCCGTCAGAAGCCATTCATTCCAGCCCCTTCAGCTTAATGCTGACTTTCCGGGAAAAGAGGTATTCTAGTTTACCTGAACTAGTAAATACCTTTCTCTTCAAGGAAGAGATATCGGGAGAAGGTGAGGAAGAAAATGCGACCAGGTGTTCCAAAGTATGTCCTGGTCTGCCATACAACCATATCATCAACGGATATAAGAAATGAAAGTATGTTGCTAAATGGACGCCATTGCTGTATACAGGCTTGTTCAGTGCTTGCCCATCCGTGTGATGAAGAGCCTGCCCTGCCTACTCAAGAGAAGATAAAAAAAATCTGCTTCTTTCACGCGACTAAAGTAAATATGTGTTGTCTACTCACAGGAGGAAGTTAAATATCATCCGAGGTTTTCATATTATTAGTTAATTCGTCTCGCCTTCTCAGAGGAAGTTAAATACCATCCGATACTTTCATATAACTATATGTATAGTTAACTTGTCATGTCTTCTCAGAAGAAGTTAAATACCATCCGAGGTTTTCATATTATCAGTTAATTCGTCTCGCCTTCTCAGAGGAAGTTAAATACCATCCGATACTTTCATATAACTATATGTATAGTTAACTTGTCATGTCTTCTCAGAAGAAGTTAAATACCATCCGAGGTTTTCATATTATCAGTTAATTCGTCTCGCCTTCTCAGAGGAAGTTAAATACCATCCGATACTTTCATATAACTATAGATAACTTGTCACGCCTTCTCAGAGGAAGTTAAATACCATCCGATACTTTCATATAACTATAGATAACTTGTCACGCCTTCTCAGAGGAAGTTAAATACCATCCGATACTTTCATATAACTATAGATAACTTGTCACGCCTTCTCAGAGGACGTTAAATACCATCCGATACTTTCATATAACTATAGATAACTTGTCACGCCTTCTCAGATGAAGTTAAATACCATCCGATACTTTCATATAACTATAGATAACTTGTCACGCCTTCTCAGAGGACGTTAAATACCATCCGATACTTTCATATAACTATAGATAACTTGTCACGCCTTCTCAGAAGAAGTTAAATAACATTCGATGTTTTTATGTTACTATAGTTAATTTGTCATGTCTTCCAAGCAGAAAACGTTACATAACTTCCGATGTTTTTATATCATTATAGTTAATTTGTACATATTATTCTATTAGACATTTTCACAAGACGTTAAATAACATTCGATGATGTTACTATAGTTAATTAGAATTTGGTGTGTGTGTGTGTGTGTGTGTGTGATGATTTTTATTGTGAAGCATGTACAATGTGAATGACCCCCAAACATTTATCTACAAAATAAGTGACCCCCGCTGCATGTCATGTACAAAATCAATGACCCCCCTCCACTTCCCATAATTTTTGAGCATAATTTTAAGATATTTTTATGTACAAAGATGCTGACGCACACACACACACACACACACAGTACGTGTGTACAAAATTGCTGACACCCCACCTCCCCAGAACAAAAGGGTGAAACACACACCACCGTCCACCCCAATCCCCACCCATAAATTATAAACGGTCCCTTATGTAGAAAATACAAACAGCATAACTAAAAAATATAATATTTTCTTCTTGACCAAATTATACAGTACAATACGATATGTGGTCACGGGGATAAAATGAAGCACACATAATGTTTATTGTGAATTTACTCAAACATGATGGTTGGAAATGGCAGATTTAATATATGAGCATTATCACGTTAGTCTTCTCTTATGCTCTCCTTGCCCTGTTAAATATTAATATTACATTTGATATTATAAGTGGAATGAATCAAGAGCGTAAGACTTTTTTGTTGAGGAATTTAGCAATATACAGCTTTGCTGGCGTGTGACCGTCATGTATGTCAGCTGAAGATACATGTTCATATCTTAAGATGTCTAAGGGCAAGATAGGGTAACCGTCAGCATCGTCATCACATTTGGAGCCATGTTGATACATCATCATCCTCGTGATCAACCATACTATCCTAGTGATGGTATAACTACTGAAACCGGTATCAAGCAAGTGATGATGTAGCTACTGACACTGTTATCAACCAAGTGATGATGTAGCTACTGACACCGTTATCAACCAAGTGATGATACTGACACTATCTGATGACCGTAGCTACGACACTGTTATCAACCAAGTGATGATGTAGCTACTGACACTGTTATCAAGCATGATGTAGCTACTGACACACAGCGTGATCGATCAAGTGATGATATAGCTACTAACACCGTGATCAAGCAAGTGATGATGTAGCTACTGACACCGTTATCAAGCAAGTGATGATGTAGCTACTGACACCGTTATCAAGCAAGTGATGATGTAGCTACTGACACCGTTATCAAGCAAGTGATGATGTAGCTACTGACACTGTTATCAAGCAAGTGATGATGTAGCTACTGACACTGTTATCAACCAAGTGATGATGTAGCTACTGATGTGATCGAGCAAAGTGATGATATAGCTACTGACACTGTTATCAAGCAAGTGATGATGTAGCTACTGACACTGTTATCAACCAAGTGATGATGTAGCTACTGACACTGTTATCAACCAAGTGATGATGTAGCTACTGACACCGTGATCAAGCAAGTGATGATGTAGCTACTGACACTGTTATCAAGCAAGTGATGATGTAGCTACTGACACCGTTATCAAGCAAGTAATGGTGTAGCTACTGACACTGTTATCAAGCAAGTGATGATGTAGCTACTGACACCGTGATCAAGCAAGTGATGATGTAGCTACTGACACCGTGATCAAGCAAGTGATGATATAGCTACTGACACCGTGATCAAGCAAGTGATGATATAGCTACTAACACCGTTATCAAGCAAGTGATGATGTAGCTACTGACACCGTGATCAAGCAAGTGATGATGTAGCTACTGACACCGTTATCGAGCAAGTGATGATATAGCTACTGACACCGTGATCAAGCAAATGATGATGTAGCTACTAACACCGTTAGCAACCAAGTGATGATATAGCTACTAACACCGTTATCAAGCAAGTGATGATGTAGCTACTGACACTGTTATCAAGCAAGTGATGATGTAGCTACTGACACCGTGATCGAGCAAGTGATGATATAGCTACTGACACCGTTAGCAACCAAGTGATGATATAGCTACTAACACCGTGATCAAGCAAGTGATGATGTAGCTACTGACACTGTTATCAACCAAGTGATGATGTAGCTACTGACACCGTGATCGAGCAAGTGATGATATAGCTACTGACACCGTTAGCAACCAAGTGATGATATAGCTACTAACACCGTTATCAAGCAAGTGATGATGTAGCTACTGTCACCGTTATCAAGCAAGTGATGATGTAGCTACTGACACCGTTATCAAGCAAGTGATGATATAGCTACTGACACCGTTATCAAGCAAGTGATGGTGTAGCTACTAACACCGTTATCAAGCAAGTGATGATATAGCTACTAACACCGTTATCAAGCAAGTGATGATGTAGCTACTGACACTGTTATCAACCAAGTGATGATGTAGCTACTGACACCGTGATCAAGCAAGTGATGATGTAGCTACTGACACCGTTATCAAGCAAGTGATGATAGCTACTGACACCGTGATCAAGCAAGTGATGATGTAGCTACTGACACCGTTATCAAGCAAGTGATGATATAGCTACTGACACCGTGATCAAGCAAGTGATGATATAGCTACTGACACCGTGATCAAGCAAGTGATGATATAGCTACTAACACCGTTAGCAACCAAGTGATGATGTAGCTACTAACACCGTTATCAAGCAAGTGATGATGTAGCTACTGACACTGTTATCAACCAAGTGATGATGTAGCTACTGACACCGTGATCAAGCAAGTGATGATGTAGCTACTGACACCGTTATCAAGCAAGTGATGATATAGCTACTGACACCGTGATCAAGCAAGTGATGATGTAGCTACTGACACCGTGATCAAGCAAGTGATGATATAGCTACTGACACCGTGATCAAGCAAGTGATGATATAGCTACTAACACCGTTAGCAACCAAGTGATGATGTAGCTACTGACACCGTTATCAAGGAAGTGATGATATAGCTACTAACACCGTTAGCAACCAAGTGATGATATAGCTACTAACACCGTTATCAAGCAAGTGATGATGTAGCTACTGACACCGTTATCAACCAAGTGATGATGTAGCTACTGACACCGTGATCAAGCAAGTGATGATGTAGCTACTGACACCGTTATCAAGCAAGTGATGATATAGCTACTGACACCGTGATCAAGCAAGTGATGATGTAGCTACTGACACCGTGATCAAGCAAGTGATGATATAGCTACTGACACCGTGATCAAGCAAGTGATGATATAGCTACTAACACCGTTAGCAACCAAGTGATGATGTAGCTACTGACACCGTTATCAAGGAAGTGATGATATAGCTACTAACACCGTTAGCAACCAAGTGATGATATAGCTACTAACACCGTGATCAAGCAAGTGATGATGTAGCTACTGACACCGTTATCAAGCAAGTGATGATGTAGCTACTGACACCGATATCAAGGAAGTGATGATATAGCTACTAACACCGTTATCAACCAAGTGATGATGTAGCTACTGACACCGTTATCAAGGAAGTGATGATATAGCTACTAACACCGTTAGCAACCAAGTGATGATATAGCTACTAACACCGTTATCAACCAAGTGATGATGTAGCTACTGACACCGTGATCAAGCAAGTGATGATATAGCTACTAACACCGTTATCAAGCAAGTGATGATATAGCTACTAACACCGTTAGCAACCAAGTGATGATATAGCTACTAACACCGTTAGCAACCAAGTGATGATATAGCTACTAACACCGTTAGCAACCAAGTGATGATATAGCTACTAACACCGTTAGCAACCAAGTGATGATATAGCTACTAACACCGTTATCAAGCAAGTGATGATGTAGCTACTGACACCGTTATCAAGGAAGTGATGATATAGCTACTAACACCGTTACCAAGCCAAACTTGCTTCATAACGGTGTAAGTAGCTACACCGAAACGTTGCTCATATTAATACTAAAGACGTTGTATATTCATAGAACCCTCCCCATTGTTCATCACACCAACTTCTAAATGCCACTGAAAGAAGGAAATAAAGTATCCATGTTGTATGAGCTATGAATCTATGCACGGTTGAGATTATGATGTAAATTACCTTTCGCCGGCTGTGTTCAGATAAGCCATTCCTTTTAGAAATTACGTCGCATATTTTGTGTATATTTCCGTGTGTACAACTCAAGTTGTATATTTTCCTTTTCGTTTCAAAATGCAATGACATAGAGTGTGTTTAAAACCTTTAGTAGGGTACAACATCAGTGTCACATTTTAAAAGTTACACCACCCTGCTAAATTATCCCCAAAAGCAAATTATAAACGTCATTTCATCAGAAGCCCTTGTGCTGTGACGATGAACAAATCCATCATACTTTGTTGAAAAGGACAAGACTCAGAATTCCAATATGGATGGCACGGCGGCCACATTGCAAACGCTATTCATTGCCATGTTAGTCATTTCTGTTAATAATACATTTGTTACGTTCCCTGGAATATAGTTAGTTAATTGTTGGATTCAATGCATATCTACTCATTTTTTGTTATTTAAAACCACGACGATGTTGTTCACTCAAACTTATAATCGTCCTTTAACTGTCTCCTGAACTGGCAGACAGGGAGGGGTGAACTTGGGAATGTGTTTCCACGTATGGTTATGCTGATCAGCAGTAGTGATACTGTTCAGCATTCGTGAAGAACATCACTGACTTTGGTTTCAGATATGTTCAGTGACAGAACTTTGACAGGTGAGCTACAGTGCCCCGGCACCATATTTTTCAACAAAATGAGTAAATATTTTGTCACATTTAGAGACTACCTGGAGAATGTGGACATTCAAACACTAAAAATGGCAGTAAACATCAATCAAAAACTATGTTGTTGATCGGGGAGAGCAGAATATTTATTAGAAGGATTCAATAATTGTGAAAATATATTCCCGTAACGGTAACGTTATGTATACAAATATTCCAATCTGTATCACACATTACTTCAGTATTTATTTTTACGCACAATCGCCGTACCTATGTATTGTTTATAACATGTACTTGTGTTGCCTCGTGATATTTACATGTATTGGTACCGTTGCACAAAGCGATCTTAGCGCTGATAAAGGTGCGGTCACATCTTTCGGTTCTGAACGTTGTTCGACTGGACCGTAGTGATTAACGTAGTAAAACGTAGTTTGATCATAGTGTCATGTTACCACGGTGTACTACGATCAGCACAACGGTGCAGAAGGGTCC